GAGCAACTGCTTGAACATAACACAAACAAAGATAAAACTTCAGATATCTACAAATACTTAACTACAACCATGATGACCAAATCATTAGTGTTAAATTAATAATTGTAACGTCACCTGTTAAAAAGCATGTCAAATTATTCACTAATCAGAAGACCTCTATCGCTTCTTCGCCTGCTGTAATTATTTTAAAGCATGTCTACCTAAATTGTAGTGTAGCATACACCTAAATATAAGACCCTCCATCTTTGTAAATCCCCCATGTTGTCAAAAATACGTCTTATAACAAGAGAAATTTGGCAACTCTCGAATGTTCATACGGCGTTCTTCCTTCGCACAGCTGAATACAATCAAATACCGTTTGCTGAGCTATCGATCACGCCCTCTCATTTTCGTCAAATCGCGGACAAAATGTTAGTAGTTCATCCAACTGATGCATACTACTATTCGTTATTAATTTATCGGCCAGATAATTAATGCATGACCCGAGATCTTAAAATTGATGTAAAAAATTGTATTACTAAATTAATTCTGAACCGTTTCTACCCCTCCCCCCCTCCCCACAAAAATAAAAAATAAATAAAAATATTAAATAAAACTTAATAAAGTTTCTATGTAAGTCATAACGCGAAATGACTAGTCGTCCACCAGAATGCCTGGAGCTGAAACGTGAATTTTGCTTATGGTACATTGGGTCACTATGGGTCACCTTAACGTTCCTAAGAGAGGTACTTACCGCAAGACAAGAAAAAGAGCGAATTTAATACGATAAAACGGATGATTTGGAGATTCATCATGCCAAAAAATGTTGCTAATCTTAACCTTTTTTCAATTTCAAAATGAACTCAAAACTTTATTCAGTTAACACGTAGCTCCTAGCTTTTCACTATTTCACATGATGTGCTTTGCTCAGAGGTCAAAAGCACTATGTCGTGTGTTTCTTGGATTTCAAATGGAGAATGGAAATTATTTCACCTTTTTCCTTTTTTCCTTACTTTGGTACTCAGTGCCTGGTAATGCAGTCTAGTCACACACATGTTTTATCGAGACACAATGCTATTCCGAAATTAATTTTCCCTCTCCTCTACTAAATTTTGCGATTTTCCTGTAGCTCTACATTCAAAGTCAGGATTTTCGCAGTTGCCAGTTTACCATTCTTTGGGTCATATTCGTCGTTCATTACCAATTTTCTCCCTAAAGAGGTCCCATTGCGACGGTGAAACTTCCAGACCACGCAAGTAGACAGACACTGGTTTTCTAAACTTAGTCTCTTATTGCCAAATTATCCAACATCGTTAAAGGTTTTTCTTTATAACATTTTTATTAGACTCCTTGTTAGGGATTTAAAATATTTACAATTATAATACAATTTTAGACTTAAGACCATAGGGCTTAAGACTAAAAGTCATAAGGATACGTTGTGCCCCCCAGGACAGGGGGCTAAGATGAGATATATTTACAATGGGACGCTGTACATGTACACTATTTTTATGAGCTGTGTATACAATTGTACGTATTATTGAATGAATGAGATTATGGACGTAGTCTTGGTGATTTTATTTTGTGTTAAAGTTGTTTTTATCAAAATCAATTTTTTTTAAATCATTATTAAAGTTTAGTCATCGCAAATCTGATTAATGCTGACACACATTCTATGAAGTTTGACACTGATATACGCGATTCCGATCGCATCAAACATTGATACATTTTGAAATTCCATTAAGTTTTTGGATCAAACTTGATGGACATCCCTACAGAAGGAGTGTGTGATCGAACAGGAACAAAATTGTATTCCAATCGCAGTTTAAGGAAAAATAGTTGTGAACATTACCGGAGTTTGATGGCCTGTAATCACGTTCTGTAAAGTTTGATTTAACATGAGACAAGTTTGGCAACAAGTAGAAAAACTGTAGAATCAGAGAGAAAGTCCATTCATGCGCATGATTTTTTTTTTTGTGTCTCGCGAATTTTCTTGGAATGCGCGATCCATTTTCAGACAGTTATTCGAACAATATTCAGAAATCATCTGAATGCTTCATGGCAATTTCAAGAAAAACGGACCATTCGCTTGGAAAAATTTTCCACTTTTACGCTGCTACAACACATTCATTTTCTCAAAATGTCATGTTTGAAATTCACTCTTTTCAGTATCGCAGTAAAAATGGGCTTTTTGTCACAAACGATTTGCGAATATTGTAAATTAAATGTTCCCGAATGTTGAAATAAAAGAGATTATGTGAAGAACAGAAATTGTGAGGGTCTGCGGACCATTAGAGTAAAAGAGAGAGTGTGGGAAGTAAAGGGAGGATTAGCCTTTGACCTTAGGCTTTATATATTAGGATAAAAAGAAAAATTGAGGACATTACATGCATATAATTCAAAATTGCGGATAATGAGGTTTTATTTGCTTTTATTACCGTGATAATAACTAAAACCACCAGGCGAGTTTACTCAGTTTTGAAACCAACTTTGTATATAACATTTGAAAAACTCTTTTTCACTTGAACGCTCTACTGGGGCAAGGTTGTCATAGGTTGAGCGCAGGGGATAAAGGTCAAAGGTTGACAACAACCCCCTCTCACTCGCCTGGAGAGTGCTTCCGCCTCCATTTCCTTTTCTTAAATTCTAGGAATCTCCATGGTACCTAATGGCCAGACTCTCCCTATAAAGGTACTCTCTAGTGCACCAGCAACCCCCTAAACTCCGGGGAAATTCACCCCTTCATCCAGAGGTGGCTGCAAAATCATCGACATCAGTAATTGACGTGAAAACGAGCACGTTATTTACATATGGCAGGGGCTCAAAGAGGGTGAAGAGGGTGGTGAATAAATATTCTGAGGGGGAGAGACGACCGACGAACTAATTAATACCATTTGGACGTATTTCTGCCAAATGGAACTATGTGCCGTAAGACATGAGCTCTGAGAACAATATGAATACATGTTTAACAGGTCTCACATCATAATGCACATAGTTCTGTTTGGCAGAAATACGTCCATTTCAGAGCCCGTCGCATCGTCGCGTCGGCGTTGTGATTAAGGGATGAAATTCAGTTCACGAGGCAGTTCGTGGTTCTTGGCCAGACTCGAGGCGTCACTGAAGCCAGCGGGGAGTTATTCAATGAAAGTGGCAAGCGATCAAAGAGGATCACATCACTTAAAGGTTTCAAGGCTGCTTTTTGAATCGTTGCAGTGAGTGGGTTCAAACCCCTCGCCGGAATGGAGAAGACATTGGAGAATTTGCGGGTGTCTGAAATTTGGTGCCTGTCTAAGAGGGGACCACTGAGTGAACTAAACACGAGGATACCCATGGTTCAAATTTGAACAATTGGACCTAATTTTGCAAGTAGGAGCTACAATTTATGGCTCATCCGTAAAACACTTATGTAGGTACATAGGGGCAGTGTGGTACATACGTTGATCCTAAACTAAGCAAAAAAAAATGTAGCTCTTAATACAAAAATGCAAAATGGAGTCCAATAATTATTGGAGGAGATATGACAAAATTATCTAATCTGCTAAGGGGTCGTCCATAAATTACGTCACCCAAATAGGAGGAGGGGGATCTTGCGGTGGATGACGGTGGGTGACGGGGAGGGAAGAAGAGGTCAAACCAAGGATGACGTAAACTTTCCTGAAGGTAAGAGGGCTGCAAATGCTTGCTTCAAATTTGACTACATCTACTAATTTTTATCGATTTCTGCGTTTTCCCCGTTCCCCAAAGGGGGGGGGGGGAACCACAACATATAGTTAGTACTTAATAAAAATTACTCATGCTCTTGACGCTGCAGACTACTTATATTAATTTGTATAGACTTTCTGCGTTTTTCACCGAAAAAGAGGGGGTACGCTAAGGATGACGTAATTTTTTAGGGGGGGTGTCTAGCAGTGGATGACGGTTGGGCAAAGTGAGGGCGAAAAGGGTCGAAAAATTGAAAAAATGGGTGACGTAATTCATAGACAACCCCTTAAATAAATGTGTTTAAATTGAAAATTCCGCCAGATGACGTCACTAGGCGGTGCATTTTTTCACTTGTAAATCTATTTTCATATTCTTTTTTTTCCCCCCCACATCTGCAGGAAATAAATCATAAAAAATACTGCACAGCACTCAGCTCAGATGACGCAATAAAAAATGTGCGCGCAAATTCTCCTACCACGAGAATCATTGAAATTGAATAGCTTGTTTCTAAAAGTACCCAACTCTAGAGAGAGAGAGAGCAAAAAAAAGAGCAATTCCAGGAAACGGATAGTAAAATAGAATTCAGAGGAATTTCTTTTTTTGTGATTGGAAAAGAGCTTGTCGTATTAGGCCTTGCGAAGCCAAAAATAATACACTTTTCATTCTTTACTTTGCCCTTCTGACACAAGGGCGTGTGAACGTGGCCAAGATGATGCAATTATTACTGCTTTCAAGCCACCCATAATGCCTATCGAGATATTGAAGGCGAACTGATCGGAACGAGTGAGAAACAATGGTGAGTGAATTATTAGGCTGCTAAAGCCATGAGTGAACCGAGCGAACGTGGCCGAAATGCTGCGAGCAACTATTACTGCTCCAAAGCCGCTCATATTGCCTATCGAGATATTGAAGGCGAACTGGTCGGAACGAGTGAGAAACAATGTGATCCACCAGTACCAAGAAAAAAGAGAGGCTCGTTAATTTGAAATTTGATGCCTGTCATCTCCGGGGCTCTTCTCTAAGTGTAGTTACGCTTTTTTGTAAGCCAAGCAACGGCAACGCTTTGTCAGTGTAATACCTATTTAAACCTTGGAGTTTTTATATAAACAAGGATTATCACCCATTTTTATTTATTTTTTTTTAAAAAAATGAAAAAACAATTAATAAAACATACATATAACCCGAAAAAACAGATTCTCTGCAGCAGAATAGACTTTTCATTTCTTTCACGTTGAGCAAGTTCTCGAAGGAAGACATACAATTATTACATTTGAGTATTCTAATCGACATTGTAATTTTTTTGCCCGGTGTGATTGCTTTCCGCTCGAAGAAGCCACTAGATTCCTGTCTCATTCGAGTATATAACTCGTCACTATATACTTCTCAGAGTTTCCGTGTTTTGAGTTTTGTCCTCCAGTTTTTCAATCTAATCTACTCTAATGTGGTAAACTTTAACAAAGCACACAAGTGTGTGATTGGCCTTATTTGTTTGCGAAAATTCTAATTTCATGCTTGTCCAAAAACCAAAAAATCACCTGGTAAAAAATCGCTCAGAAATAGTTTTTTGTGGCGATGGATCGATTTTGCTCAGATGCACAGTAGAATAGGCCAGCATAGTAATGTTCAATTCGGTGCTGCAATACAGCGTCCATGACTCTCGGGTATGATTACTCTCGGTTGGCATTCTCTCGTACAATTCAGGATTGGTCTGGACGTTTCCTTTTTGACGAACTTGCTTGCTGCGGATTCTGATTGGTCTGCGTGGGGTTCTGTTGGGCTGGATACGGGCCCTTCAATTCATAACTTCTCACACCTACTCCGCATCTTCCTTTCTTCACCAACCAGTGACCCTACGACAAATTCAGTCCTTGAGTTGAGATCACAACAACGTTCCAGGTATGCGATACGCGTCTCGAATAAAAGAAGCAAAAACATGAAAAAGATCAAAAGAGCGAGAGTCATTTGGACGTATATCTGTCAAACGGAACTATCTGCATTAAGACATGAGCCCTGAGACCCATAAGAATATATGTATAATAGGGCTTACGTTATAATACACACAGTTCCGTTTGACAGAAATCCGTCCATTTGGAAGTAGTTCTACTAAACGGAACAAGAGACAGGTGAGAAGTGAGGGGCGTGCTTGTTAGTTGAGGGCCGTAGGAATGAATGGGCATTATAAAGCGCCAGTGACGTCAGCGATGACAACCGGGCTGGACGAGTCCGACGATGCCTCATTAACACATGAGCCATATCCACAGCGCTCATGTCGCACACCCACGGCTCATGAGTTAACACACGGTTGGCGCTTCGTTTCTTTTGATTTAATTTCAAATCCCGCTTTTCCATTTCCCCGTAAGGAGTCATGCCCACTTTTACATTGTTTATTAGGCAACTCACCACGAGCACATCCAATCTTTCCCACACGTCGCAAGTTCCGTTTAGCAGAAGTAACGTCCATTTGGGTATTTTCGCAACTTGATACGACAGCACTGTTTTTCCTCCATTTCAATTCATTATAAACAATCGATTCTACGTAACACCATCATCCTCAATAGATATGGATTGTTTTAGGTGTTTTAAGGATGCAATTTATACAGGGCTATCCAAAAATACCACACCACAAGCACCTAGCATCACCTCCGTAACTTTTGAAAAAATTGAGATAGAAACTTGCAATTTTGTTAGTGCTCCAAGGTCAAAGGATGAAACTTTTGGTAATCCCCAAAATTTAAAGGGGATCGCTGTAAAAAGAGGTAAGAACCCTGGTGGCTATGAGGTTGGTGCTAGACTTTTGAATCACCCTGTATGGTGTTGCCAAATCGCGAGATTCGCCTATGCTTTATACTATGATGTATATTGGTGAGTAAATACGGACATCGAGGATGTTTCAACATTGATGCTCGTATCGATTTATCGATGATGTCGATTCTCGACTTTTTCACGTATTTAAATAGAATCGGTTTCTATTAGACGAGGGTAAGTCCAAAAACTCATGAGCCCTAGAGTCCCGCGTGATCTTCGAAAGTCAAGACTCGTGATTTTCAAAGCAGTAGGAACGATGGAGGAAATCTCAATAAACGCCTCTCGCCTACGACTTGAGCCGTTGACAACTCAACGAAACATATGTACTTGTTTGTGTATCAAAATTAAAATATTTTTTACCTGTAAACCCCAATTCGTGGGCATGCTGTCCCGAATAATCCATGAATCTAAAACCAAAAGGTAAAATAAGAATTTAAGATGCTTTTTCGTGTTGTTTACTTTTTACCTATTCTTTGCAGGCTTCACATAAGTGTTAGGCGTTAAGTTTTAAAAAAGGGTGATTCTTCGGTAGCTCTGATATTATGGTAAGTGTGTCAGGAGGAACTATCATCTCTATTATCAGTGTTCCTTTTTTCGCTGCATGCGGTCCATGGGAATGGAGCTTTGGTAATTTGAGGCCAATTTTGAGGCACATCTCATGAACATCTGTTTAGAAAATACGATTTTTTGGAGAAACTGGCGAAGGATAAATTGAAAACTGGGATTATAATTAGCCGTAGGAGCTAAAAATGAATGAGGATAGTCTGATTGCGCACCTGAATTTAAGGAAAAAAACCTGTTTTTTAGACGCATACGGCATAATTATAGCTATAATTTTTTATGAGGTTTATACATAATGTTACATGCATGGTTTTTTATAGAGCTTCCATGCAAGTAGGTTTTAAATAGCAGTAAAGTATCAGAACTCGTGGATTTTCTTTCTTTTTTTTGACAGGGTTATTGCAAATAATGTTTTAGCGAATCGCCAATGCAAATAAATATTTAAAACTTTTAGGAGCTCCCTATCAGTTTCTGATGAAATGTAAAGAATAAAAATATGGTAAAAATACCCTTGTAATGGCCAACGATAACAGCAGCGTGATTTGTATCATCGTAGTCGTCGATATCGCAATCCTCAGAATCAAACACTCCTGAAACATAGTGCTGCAACGGAAAAAAGGAAACAACTTCGATGAAACCGCAAATGCGGAGAATATGATTGGTTATAAAAGTACCAAAACAGCACACGTTCAAAAAGTTTCCACATCCGACGTTTTGTAAATTGAATTTTTGTCCTGTTCGCAATGCGTATATTCACCAACCTATGTTTATTAGGAGCTGCTCGATATTCAAAATCATAACTTTTCCCTGCCACTATTAAGATAAAAAATTTACCAAAATGGAGTTTATGCCACTATGTTAACCATTAAGCAATAATGTAATTTTTTTTTTCTTCAAAAAATTGTTTTTAACATTATTATTTATCTGTAATATGTAAACCGTCTCGTTATGTTTTACAGAATTTTGATAGTGTAATGCAATCACTTTGTAATAACCATTTCGTATTTGGCATTGCATAACCAACACTTTGAAGGGATTCCGTGCGCAGATCATTCTTTAGGATAAGTGAGCGAATTTTCCGTCGCACATTTCGTCGCTTACCTCACGAAAGGAAGTAACTCCAATTCAATGTTGCCAAATTTTCCCTCGCAAATTGCAAACAAACCAAGAGAATCTTGGGCATTCCTGACTGAAAATTTCACAAATTTTACATCAAATTTCGTGCAAAAATCAGAAAACTTTTATAGGTATTAAAATTGCAGAGGCACTTTCTTGTAAAATAGATGAATTGTTTGAGGCAATGTGGTAGCCTTGGAATGGAGTTACATTCTTTCGTCCGGAAGACGACAATTTGAACTGCATTTCTCTGAAAAGGAACCAAGAGTATTGCGACACTAACTTCAATGTTCATTAAGAGTAATTGAAAATTTTTAGGAATAGTGCGGATTCATTCTCCACTAGAAAAACGAAAGAGGAGAGAAGATTTTAGAACATTACAATCGGATTTATATAGTTTGGAAAGTTCAAAGTCTACATACTCATAGTCTATATAAGTCTGCATAGTCTATAGTCTATTGTCTATGTAAGTATAGTCTATTTCTTACCTGGAGTATCGGATCAAAATATATGGCCGAAGGGAGTGGGCTGTACATCAAGCGTTCTTCCACTTTTTCTGGATCTACTTCTTCGTAGTCGGTCTTGACGGAGGGCGAGTACTGTTTACAAACCTCGGTCTTTGCTCGGTAGGGGTAAACAGCGGCAGATGGAACTCCGTTGTTTTTCATGAAATATAAAGCGCCTTCCATATTTCCGCCGTTACAGCCGTAATTTTGCGAATCGCAATCAATCAACGCTGCGAAAAATGCGGGATTTCCATTAAAGCTCCACTCCGATTCAAAATAATTATCACTCCTATGTTTCTAAAATTGCATTCGCCGTGTTTTAAACGAACGATTGGAACAACAAGTTGATTAGAATAATACATATATTTAGGAATGGAGTCCATCATCTGAACTTGGCCTTATGGTCTAATTGTTCAGCGAAGTTAATAGAGCGCGAGGTGAATGTGTGTTTTCCAGTCGTGCTTCGCGGTAAGTTTGTTGCCTATGTGGCGAAATTGAAGGCGACTCTTAAGTGGACGATCCTACCAATAGGTTAACAACATTGTTTCGATCTGTTCAATCGAAACATGAAGGGCAATTAAAATGTGTTTTTCGGATAGATGACTATTCGTACTACGCGGAACGGTTGTGGCCTATATGGACAAATTGAAGGCGAAATGCAAATAAACGATACCGACAAAATCGCACATAGCTCACTGGTTCAGTCAATGCATGCAAAGAGATGGCCGATGTTTTCGAATAGCTTGCTATTTGTGCTCCCCAAACTACGCAAATGGGCCTGTTGTAAACTTTTGCTAGAGCTAAAATAAGATTTCTTTCTATCAATGAATGTCTCAAAAATCACGATGAGCGCATCGGCAAAGGTTGAAATGCACGCCGAACTTCACAATCTGCGTAAGAAATCTGCGTTTTTTTTTAGATTCCCGTTTCAAACACGATAGCTACGGCACTGTGAGCAAATCGTCAGAGGTGTCATTCTATCCACCCCCTGTGCACTAAAATACTACACAACATTCAACATGGCCGACACCAATCCGCCAAAACACATGTGCCTGGATGAGATTAAAACCATTCGTTAACAACCCAGCCTGTTTACATTCACGATTTCTTCGCGTTGATACCTAAAGATCCCCTTTGCTTTACCTTGTGCTCCCGATTGCGATTGGCGCGCGGAAACGTCGTCGGCCATGTTGGGTATTGCTATTGTAAAATGGCTGAATGGAACGACTCCTCTATCAGAATGCTCACCTGTGCCGTAGTGTCGTTTTTGAAGCGGGAAGCTCAAAAAAACGCAAATTTCTCACACAGATTGTGAAGTTAAGCGAGTGCATTTCAAACTTTTCCAATGCGCTCATTGTGATTTTTGAGACATTTACTGATGGACAACTATTATTTTTGCCGTTTTAACAGTTTGCAACAGGCCCATTCTGTGCCAAAGTGTCTTCTCTAAGCGACTTCCCTAAAGTGCTACACGCCCTCTGAAAACCCTTAATAGACATTTTTTTAAAACGCAAACCTTTTCAGACCTTCAATGCAAAATCTTAACATGTTGAACGTTTGATTTGCTCCTTAATTTATCGCAAATTATTGTTACTTGTTATAACTCACTGCTTTCACACTCAAGAACAACATCAAGTGTTGCTGAAATAAACATATTTTTCTTCTCTTGTAAAACTTGACTTCTTGAACATGTTCGCTTTCAACTTTTCCTTAAAATCATTTGAATGTATGCAAAACAAACGATGCACATAAATCGAAGTGCGTCTCCATCTAAAAAAATCGATTCAAGATGGAGACGGAAAGCACGAAAAGCAATCATTTTTCGTGGAATCGAATGGAGGAAAGACAGCGCTGACAACTTGTTCGTATCACTACTGACTCTGGGCCTGACTTCTGAAACTCACCTTGTACTGAGACCTTCCCAATCCTGCCAGCCATCCGAGACAATTTTATATCCACAGCTCCAACTGTTGAAAAAGCCCAACATGCGTCACATTCTCTTCCGAACTGGGTCTACAGAAATAATGTTTTATCATTTAATTATTTCTTAATTTTTTAGAAAATAGGAAGAAACAATTGCAAAATATCCGGTTTTCCAAAAGAATAGACATATATAAGCCGTGCTAGAGTCTATAGAGAAGCGGAAAATACTATAAAAAGGTAAATAAAACTTTAAAAATGGATGAAAAATTCAGAAAGTGGGCAAACTATCTTAAGATTCTGCGTCTTTTTAGCCTAGACAGAAGCATAATGCAGATACTAACCTCTCCCCTACCCCCATGTAATATAAAGGCTCATAGAACCTCCCTCCTCATAGACCGTTATGTAATTCACGAACCGTCCCTAAAGGGTGGTGCGCAACACAAGTTTGGAGACTTAAACGCAAGGTAAAGAAAGTAAACGCGATTCCGCAGTTAACATCAGGTCCTTTCGATGGAAGAGGGTGGTCGTAATGGGCAAAATAGGTAAGTAATAGGCTCACTAATGGCAACCTCTAATCGTTAGTCCCTTACTTTCCCCATAGTCTATAACAACCACCTGTTTCAACCAACAGGATCGCTCCAGTTTCCCTTCGTCATATTTGTGTACCACTTTGTCTATCATTTCCAATAATTAGCCCCTGACGTAGAGAGAAGTGGTTAGGCGTGAATGATCGATTATCGACGTTTATTCATTTAAATGTGTGGTGAAGAATCGATCCTAAAGGTGTTCCTTAGGAACACCCTGTTTATCAATCACTTCCCACAGTTTAAATGGGAGATCAATGGATGCATAATTGCAAAGCACGCCACGTCACTGCGGGCTAATTTTTGAAATTGGTGGACAAAGCTATTGACAAAGATGACAAAAAGAAAATGGAGGGATCCTATTGGTGGAAGCGGGTGGTTTCAATGGACAAAGGAGGTAGGTAATGGACTAAGTGACGGCAAGCCACGGGAGACTCTTTCGTTAGTCCATCATTTTCTTTCTTAGTCAATATGAACCACCCATTTCAACGAATAGGATCTCGCCATACTCCCTATGTCTTCTCTGTCTATTGTTTTGTCCACCAATTTAAAAAATCAGCCCGCAATGTCGTGGCGTGCTTTGCACTTATGCATCCATTGATCTGCCATGTAAACCCTTATGGGAAGGGATTGATAAACATCAGGGTGTTCCTAACGAGCACCTTAATGATTGATTCTTCACCACACATTTAAATGAATTAACATCGATAATCGATCATTCACGCCTGACCACTGTTCTCCATGTCAGGGGCTAATTATTGGAAATTATAGACAAAGTGGTAGACAAATATGACGAAGGGAAGCTGAAGCGATCCTGTTGGTTGATAAACAGATGGTTGTTTTAGACTATGGGGAGAGTAAGGGACTAACAATTAGGGGTTGCCATTAGTGAGTCTATTACTTACCTACTTTGTCCATTGCGACCACCCTCTTCCACCGGAAGGATCTGGTGTTAGCTGCGGAATCGCGCTTACTTTCTTAACCTTGCGTTTAAATCTCCAAACGTGTATTGCAGACCACCCCGTTAGGGACGGTTCATGAATTACGTAACGCTCCATGGGAAGGGAGCTTTTACCTTCGTTGTATTTACCTTTTCATAGTATTTTCTGCTTCTTTATAGATCCTCAGCTACACTAATCAATGAAATGTATGTATAATTATTGAAAATGATAGACAAAGTGGTAGACAAATATGACGAAGGGAATCTGAAGCGATCCTGTTGGTTGAAACAGGTAGTTGTTATAGACTATGGGGAAAGTAAGGGAATAACGAAAAGGGGTTGCCATTCGGCAGTCTATAGCACTTATGTATTTGGAAAGGGGGGAAGCTGTGGCTTACTTGAGCTTCGGTCGGGGGGTAAAGGTGATCGGGGATGCGCCAGTCGAGGAGGATTTGTCCCTGTGGATCGGGGCCGACCCAGGGTTTGTAATTGTGCGGCGCCGGCTGGTAGGAGGGAGGGACGGAGACGCTGCGTCTGGGAGCGGGGCGATCGCCCGGGCCCGGGCGCCCCGGTGACAACGACCGAGCTCTCCCGGGCTTCTGCCCGTTTGTGGAGCGTGACCTTCGCGAGAAGGGATTCAGCATTCGCGGCCTCAGTTGTCTGCGCCTCAGCTTCTTGATCCCGACGAATCGACGGAACTCCTCACCTGCGGACCGATTATTGAACTTTATAGACAAAGCTATAGACAAAGACGACAGAAAGGATATCGCACAGATTAGTCCAGATCGCTAACATCCAATCTAGCCAATGCTTAGAAAGCGTGAGTAATTTTGCTACAGGTTAGGCAACTTTAGAAAATTGATGGCACTACCAGTAGTGAAAGAACTTGACTGGATCGAGAGAAATTTCCTCTTTAATCTGATTATAAAGCTTTAATAAAGTATAAATAGTAATGTGTAATAATGCACTGAAAAAAATATGCCGGTAGATTTTACCATCTCTGACACAGTGATACGAATATGGTAATAAACACCAGACTCTATGGTGGCATTTACCATACTATGGTAAGAATCACCAGAGTTCTGGCGAATACTACTATAATTCTGGTTATTTCCACTAAATAGTATCACTGTGTAAAAAATCAAGTAGACTCATAGTAAATGTCACCATACTTTTTTTTCAGTGTGGTTTTTGATCAAATAAGATTTTATCAAGTACTGTTATGCTAAGTATTCTGTTTCAATATTCTTATAACAGTTGGTAGCGATTAACTGCTCTCATGGGGCCTTTGGCGGGAATTCAAAACTAGGAGCCAAAAGTCTCATTTTGCTAGGATTTCGCTTTAATTTTCGGTTTCTAAGGCTTTAAACTTCAAAAATATGATACATTATAATCTCACGGTGAAGATCGATTCATCCAGAACAGATGAGAGATAGACATTCCAAATTAAGGGGGAAAGTGCTGCATCTTTCAATCTGGAAATATTGAACCACATAAATTCTAGTGGGGAAACTAGAACTGAAAAACTAATCCTTGAATTCTTCGGAATCGGAACGTTTCATCCCACAAAAATCTGAAAAAGAAGTATTCTCCCGCCGAAAATCTGCTAAAAATAGCCAAAATTTCAGTTTTGATTCCTAGTTTTAAATGCCCATGGATTTTCCTGCCAATGGCGCTCACAATACTACTCACGCTCTTCCGCCGATGTTAGCGATCTGGACTAATCTGTGGGATATCGACGGTGAAACTACCAGACCACGTATCTCGGTTTGCGACGTTCTGGACTTCCTCTCATATTTTATTTTTTAAATGGAAAACTACTCAACGTCAATTTTTGAAAACCTCCGTGTTTTCCCCTCTCTATGCGATGAAAACTCGGTGAAAATTTCAAGAAATGGTATTGATTTGTTCTCCTTCAACAAAATAACATGGGAGTGGAGATTTTTAAACAGCGCAAACGAGATACGTGGTCTGGTAGTTTCAACGTCGATATGGAGGAGCTCTGCTGTGTTAGCGAAGAGAGCAGTATGTGCAAAAATGAAGTTTTAAAAAGACAGGCTCAAAAGCATCTGACCGGAAAATTTTATTGAAAAAAGCCTCCGTTCTTTGTGAACTTCCCACTAATCATCCGAAAGACTACTAGATATCGTTTGGATGATTAAAAATCGACCAATTTTATTTCAATTACATAAACAGGACATTTTTTATGATTGGCTAGTGTTAGGCAAGACCAGGAGCCATAAGAGGTATATACTGCATGCTTTCGTGGTTGCATTTTGTACAAACAACGAACACTTTCCAGGTTAGAAATTGACAGAAGAGGGTGACACTGTACTTGAGAGCACTGCTTTCATTGGCTCGCTGGAGGAATAATATCACTTACTGCTGTCTTGCCTGAAACTACGTCATTTTTGCGCATTTACGGCTTTCTCATGTGTCTCGAATCGTTTCCGTGAAAATAAGATACATTTTGCTGTTTCAACTATTTTAGTGACTCCGTCAAAAAGAGAGTAGACGAATTGTGAAGGAAACTCGATTTCGAAAATTTGACCCTTACTTCTCTCTTCACTATCACGGCAGAGCTGGCGCCACTTTTAGGCGTTTTCCAATCAGCGAGCTCCTTGACCCCATTGACCCCTGTGCGGTGCCGGATACCGATACATCCATGATCGATGTATCGCTATCAGTTTTTTAATTTGAGGAAATACGACTGACGATGTAATATAGATAAAGTGCACGGTGACACAAGAAAGGAATACCTTCATTATCTGCATTTTTGATAAATTCATACAATGTCCGCCACTTCTTGGCTCCTGAAAGCTCCCTGAAGCATAATGAATGGCTATGCCAATCATAGCAATGGATCCTCTGGTAGCCTAAATATCCTCTTAGATCATACTTTATTTATTAGAAGAGAGCGTCAGCCGACAGTGATAAACCGCTAAATATCCTAATACCTGGCTTGTTATACAGGACAATGGATCACAGACAAAGTGCGAATTTAAGCATTCTGAGACGTAGTTCCTTATCAAACGTTTGTGTAGAACACGACTTAAACAACGAAAATTACTGATTTTAACTCTTAAGTAAAATGTTCGAGGTTTTTTGATGCGTACCTAAATTCAAACCATCAGATCATGAAAAAACAAAAGTCTACGCAAGTCAAATCGCGCACTGAACGTTGCCGTACAGCAATTTCTGCAATAGAATACTGCCATGCTATAGAAGAACACTGTATGGACATTCGAGAGTTGCCAAATTTCCTTCGATAAAATGTTTATTTTTGAGGAAAATTATGAATATTTTTCATTGAAATTTTCAGAAGTTTTAGATTAAATTGCAAACAAAATTATTTGAGAAATTGGTAAACAAATATTCAAAACTATTCCTGAAAATTAGTGAATTGCCGGGGGAAATTTGGCAACGCCTGAAGGCTCATACGGCGTTTTTCCTTAGCATGGCAGAATAATATGACGACCTCAAAATCGGTGCCTCCACCCAGCTGTTGCACGTTAACCCTTGAAACAACACAAGGCAGGGAAGGAATACTACTCGAATATAAGCTTGTCATGATCGTAGCAGTGCGCGATTTTATTTAAGTAGACTACTGTATTTCATGTCAGCGGGAAATTCAAAATCCCCGTGACCAATGGAAATTAAAAATGAGACGCTTGGAGGACAAGGCGCATAAGCGCAGTTTTTGCCATTTCGAGAAATACGTGTTTGAAGTTTCAAAATAACATGGATCCTGATGGCGGCAAGATAGTTCAAACTAACTTTTTGATGCTTAAAAATTGGAATTAGGGAGCGAATTTTTCGTAGAATATCCATTAAGACTAGTTTTATTTGAAACATCAATATCTCTGTTTTCAAAAACTGCACTCACGCGCCTTGTCCCCTAAGTCCCTCAAATGTTACTAATTTTAGGAATTTACATTACGCGAATCGTGTTCAACGTGCAAATTAAATCTAGAAAAACATTTCAGAATGCTTAAAAAGTCGCATGCATCTTCTAAAATAGTCTAGTCTACTCACTCGTAAAATCCGTGAATGGGCCGACTCCAAAAACGACATTTCCTTTTCGCCTGGCCATAAGGTCATCAATTATGGCCAAGTTTTTTCTGAAAATATCATATCGTTTCAGATCCTCGCCCTGTGAGCCGTACTGTTTCCCGTAGGCGCTCTTGAATACTTCAAATCGCTGTCGTGAATCCAAGCGAACAACTTGCGTCTGAAAAATAACTTCATCTGAATACAGTTTAGACCACTCCTCAACACTATTAAAAGATCTAACCAAAAGAATCCGTGGGATACATCTTCGTGAAATAATGGAATCTCCGTGCTGTTCAATTGTCAATAGAGCGTACGCACTTATTATCGATTTAATGGACCACTAAAAAAGGTGTTTATTTATGCATCCTGAAACAAGTTTCTTGACGGAAATTTTACGTAAAGTACGCGGAGGTTTGAATTTACGCATAAAAATGACGCGTAAATAGACGCGCGGTGAAACTACCAGAGAACACGTATCTTGGTGTGCGATGTTGCAGACTTCCGTCGTACTTTACTTTTCTAATAATAAACTACTCAACCTCAACGTCATTGCTTGAAAACTTTTATGATTTTTCTTCTCTGTGCGAATAAAATTTGTGAAAACTTTAAGTAGTGATATTGATTCATTCTCTCTGAAAAAAAATGAAATGTGAGGGGAGATTTTTAAACACCACAAACGGGATGTGTGGTCTTGTAGTTTCACCATCGATATCTCAGTTAGGAGTTGACTTCAGTAACTCTCGTTGCGCGAGTTGTGCTCAATGTGGAACTTCGCTGCGGAAATGTGTATAAAAATGCTTGAATTTACACCTCGTCTAGTGGACCATTGTGATATATTTCAGGATCAATCACGGATCAAGTATTGTAATATTACAGCTTTTCATTCAGAATTTGAACGGGATGTTTTGAGCAACAGATGCTTTGCATCGCACTTTATCATAAGAGAGCATTCCATTGGTTCCAAATTGTGCTGAAAAAATGAGCATTCCTAATCTAATCACATTTCTCATCTAAACGCATGTCATATATCCAAGTTTTCTTTCTCAGCCTCGCAACCTTACCTTAATTTCCTTTGAAACTATTTTCCTTTTGCCTTTGAACGATGATGACCAAACGGACCTTTGAACGCAGGGATTACTCGTGAATTGGTGTAGATCTTTCTGGTTGAATCTACAAACGCAACTTTTGTCTTTTGCACACGCTCCGTAACTCCACGGAATGTTGAACAGAGGGACTCTACCCCATATGGAATTGCAGTGGACGTCACAACTCCGGTCATCCATCTTGCTTGAATCGCACGCCGAGTCGGAATACACTACGCAAGAAGCAGAATGAAAAAAATTAAACAAAATGAAAATAATTTGGCTCCTTTCCGTCAAAGGCTTAGACAAGGCTTACAAAAGGCTCACGTAATCCTTGAAGCACCACTACACAAGAGATAAACGAAACTAATACAATTAGGAAATAGAGCAAATGGAAAGACGGCGCAGAGATACAACTATTGGTGCTTACTGGATATCTGTGTTGCATCTGCAAAATTGAAGGCGCGATGGCGCGAGCTGTGAATCTGCGATGTTTCGCAACTCCGCATTATGCTGCCAGTGAGGTGTCGTGAGAAAAGTTAAGAAAGGAGGCTCGATTATTACGGCTCTCCTATTTACGGCTGTGTTGCTCATACAGTCTTTAAAGAACCGCTAAAAATACAAGTAAGACAAACTGAAACAAACACAGTATGGAAGTAGAGCAAAGTAAAATGAGGCGCGTTGATGACGGCGCAGAGATACAACTATTCGAACATGATGGATGTCCGTGTTGCATCTGCAAAATTGAAGGCGTGATGGCGCTATGCGTGAACTCGCAATGCTCCTTTCTATGCTGCCAGTGAGGTGTCGCTCAGATTCGAGAGAAAAATTTAAAATGCCCGACTACGTCTTGACTCTGTCGTTCCTCAATGTTTTCTCCTTTTATCAATTGAGGTTTGATTCGTTTTTTAATGCACACATATTTACAGACCTACATCTACGGCTCGTATGCACTGCGGTCCCCACTCGCGTGGCTAGTTTATTAAACAAGCCTCCGGTCAATTTGACCGGGCTTCAGCGTCTAAGGGTTAATGAAAATATCACTAAAATATGATTGCACCAGTGCACCTTGTTCGCCAAAAACTCAGGATTCAAGAGGGGAGCCAAAAGAAGTCATGCCATTCACAATCAGTCAATGAATTTCAATATAAAATTAAGTTATGTTTAATCTTGCAAAATTAGACTCCAATTGCTTGGTGACGTCCCAAAAAATTGTCATTGCCAACAAAATGATTGTTATATGGGACCTCCTGCTGCCTTATCTAGATCTCCGGTGCATTTAACATACGTTTATTCCTATCTCTTTATTTTTACTTTTCTTACCGAACACCTTGTTTCTGCTTCAAAATGTCACCTTGTACTTTCTAAATCGAATGTTTCATTTTTCGATGAGGTTAAAAACATCTTTTCGGCATACATATTTCTCGGGTTTATGAACCCGAAAATGATGCATCATTTTCCGACTTTTTGTTTTTAAAAGCAGTATTATAGGTAATTGCAAGCTCTGGCTCAATTCTTCTGGAAATAATGATGCATGGATGCGACTGGTACCTAGCTTTGATTTTATATTTTTTCTCTTTTTTTTCATTTCACAGGTCTCCCGGTTGGTTGAAAATGTTCAGTTTTGCCATTTTCGCTTTCTGCGATTACTTGATAAACTTCGAACCTGAAAATAGCGTAAAATGGTGCTGATTTGCTAGACATTTTTGACCGCCTTTCACGTAGGAGTGCTTCACAACCCTCCCCCCGGGTGAGAAGGGGGGGGGGCAAAATATCACTTTACGCCTCTTTAGCCGGCCAAGGATCAACGCCCTGAGATATGAGCCAGTCCGACCCTGGAGTAACTTACCTACCAGGTGGATGATGAGCTGCGGGTGATGTCATGAGCCAAACAAGTTTCCCTAACTTTGATATGTTTGCTAAATGAAAAGTTCAACAAGTTGCTCAACATCAACCTAGTAGGTAGGTCAACAGCTGAATGTTGAAGTCTCGAAAGTAAAAGCTTCCACCATTGCCAAGATATCAATGGAGGGTCTCTGGTCTCTGCCCTAAAGGTCCATTCCATGACCTAGCCTCAAAATTATCCATAAGTCCGTACCAGTAGCGTGACATGCTTTTCGATAAATCGATTGATCTGTCATTTAAACCCATCGAAAAGGATCGATAAACAGGGTGTTCGCAGCGAACACCCCAATAGTCGATTATTTACCACGGCTTCAAATGGGAAAATATAAATTTATCGAAAAGCACGCCACGCCACTGCCCCAAATTCTCTACTTTCCGTTAAACTTTTTTGCAAGGATTCTCAAATTTTCGCACGAATGACTTATTTCGTTCTTATGATTAAATTTTCAGACGACAAAATATGCATTTAATTTTTCAAAACTTGGCAAATGTTGAAGGTGTAATGGTTCATTTCTGCTTCTCATGCGATTCTCTCAAACTGTTTATACACCATGCGCTAATGATAAAAAAAGAGAGAAAAAATTGTTGCACTAGTAACGAGAATTTTTTAAAAAAATTTGAGCGCGTTTCGTCTCGCAGTACGTAAAAAAAAAAAAAAAAAAAAAAAAAAAAAAAAAAAAAAAACCTTTTAATGCGTCCGAAAAAATAACGTTCATCCTCTGAAACGCGTGGATGCCACTTTTTCCACTGAATAGCCACCTTATCAGTCATGGGATGTGAAGCGCTCTGATGATGGTATTATCCTGAATTCCCTGGTTTGAAGCACGTTGGTTCCCGAAAATAAAATTGCTTAACACAGCTCAAAAAGTCATAAGAAATCCCTTATCTAAATATAAAAAATCCAGTCGGGGCTTTCGTTGTAATCGTGACAAGCGAGGGAAGCAGAGAGATTAATTGGACATCATTTTGCAATAAGGAACCACTATTTCTGGCTCATTTAAGAAACAACATATATGCTATTAGTTTCCCTACGCAGATGGGCGCTTTTACAAAAGAGCCAGAGATAGTGGTTCCTTATTGCAAAATGTAATCCAATTTTAAGTTCATTAATCGTCATTGTTTGATCTTCAAAATTTGTTTGCCATTCCCCCCTCCCATGATTTACGTACCAGCAATTTTTTAAGCCCGAAAAAAAAGTTCAGCCACGAATTGCGAAACTAATTCCTCTTATTCATCGTCGAGTTCGTTTTTAAAGTTTTTTTTTTCTTTTTCTTAATACTGAGAAAATTGTTTTTTTGCACCAAACAGACCGGCGAATCTGCGTAAGCCTGATTCATCCCGGTCGATGCTATACGACCGCATTGGACGTGTTTCTATGAAACACAACTATGTGCAGAGGGAAGGATGGGGTGTGCTCGTTGGCGCTCAGGCCATGAGAATGAATGGGAAATATAAAGCGCTAGTGACGTCAGCGGCAACGACGAGAGAAACGACGAGAGAAACGACGATCGGGAAGGCGGTCTTTAACTCATGAGCCCTGTCCTTAAGGCTCTAGATACTTGCCCACGGCTCTTACGATGTGCTCATAGTTCCGTTTGACAGAACGTGAAATCCCGCCTCTCCAATTCAGAAAACGGAACTGTGAGCCAACTAAGTGCGGCACCCATGCTGCCCTGCTAAGGAAAAACGCCGTATGAACCTTCAGGCGTTGCGGAGTTTCCTCCGATAAAAACCGAATTTGCTGATAAAATTGTGAATATTCTTTTCCAAAATTTTTATACAATTTTGTATGCAATTTAGTCTAAAATATCTGAAAATTTCAAGGAAAAGTATGCATGAATGTTGGCAAATTTACATGTTTTATCTAAGGAAATTTGGCAACTCTCGAATGTTCATACGGCATTCTTCCTTAGCTCGGCAGCATGAGCCGTGGGCAGGTATCTAGAGCCTTGTGGACAGGGCTCATGAGTTAAAGACCGCCTTCCCTGTCGTCCTTTCTTTCTTAGTTGCCGCTGACGTCACTGGCGCTGTATGTTTCCCATTCATTCTTACGGCCGGAGCACCAACTCGCACATCCCATCTTTCCTTATGCACATAGTTCTCTTTGATAGAAATACGTCCAATTGGTGTTTAGAACCATTAGAGTCGGTGCACTGTAAACCAATTATTTGTAGTTTATTGTACGGTAATAGTTTGTGTAAATTACGAATTCCATAAAGTAAATGTTAGCACGCTGTTCTCATAGATCTATCTAAAAAGAGCGGTCTTATGTATGGGCTGATGAAGCTACAGACAAAGAAGACGAAAAGGATATGGAGGGAGCCTATTGGTGGAAATGGGTGGTTGCAATGGACAAATGAGATAGGTAATGGACTATAACTAACGGTAGCCCACGAGAGACTTTCATCGTTTACCGTAGTCTATAAGAACCACCCATTTATATCGCTGCATACTCCCTACATCTCCTTTGTCAGTCGCTTTGTCTACCAATTTCAACAATCAGCCCGCTCGGGACTATTCCTTGTCGATAGCAGCAAAAATCATGAAAATCGGCCCGGTTGGACGCAAGAACGAACTGTGACAAAATAGGAGCTCAGAGAGCTTATCGTTAATATATCTTGAATTGTTGAAGTTATTTTCAAATATTCTTTGAGCTACCGGAAGGACATCTTGCTGATGATATCCTCACTTTGTTACAAAGGTAGGAGAAGCAGATTTTTTTTTTTTTTTTTTTTTTTTTTTTTTGCTTCAGGCTCGGTATGGCCACGCACAAAGCCAATCAGCCATTGGCAGATACGCCCTCTTGGCGCGTCGAAAACGCACCCCTCTGACAGATAGCAAAATTAGAAGAGATAAAAAATTACGACCGAGAATATATGCGGAAAATTTCTAAAATGAACGGAGGGAGAGAGAGTAATAAGAGTAAAGAAAGGTGCTTTTACGCATGGTAGTAGTAAACATAGGTCCAAGAACTACTTCCTGAAGCGTAAACACTTTTCTGTGAAATTTTCACCTTTTTGTTGACATAAAAACGCTTCATCATCCCTCTCCTTCATTCGCTTTGTGTAACTCCCTTAGAGGCGATGGATGGTTCGATTTTTAGACGTACGCACCCTTTATGGACCTCTTGAAAGACCTTTGAACATATTTCTCCCTTTTCAAAATGACTGTTGATTTGGACATACCATAGCAAATCTCGGGCAAATTTAACCTTAATTTATCTCGGAATTTAAAAAAAAGAGGCTGTAAACGCGATACAACTATTCGCCTAAGACGGATGTCCACATTGCATATGAAACATGTAAGAGGCGATGGCGTGAGGCGTGAGCTCGCAATGCTCTGCCCTATGCTACTAGTTTGAAGCACCA